GCAGTAACTCTCTTATTGTTTCCACACTAATGTTGATTGCTTTGCCTCTCACCAACACATTGTCACCTTGTGTTTCTTGCATACTGCTCTAAAATTCCCTGACCGCACTGAGATTTGGCCTTAGAGGGATATCGTAGAGTCTTTCCCAGTGATGTTCGACAATGTAGGATGATCTGTTGGGAGGGACGCTGCCCTTTCAATTATAATCCGTCGTTCCCATCCTTGCTGGTAAACCTCCTCTCCTTCAATATTGCTAATATTACCATTGTCATTTGTATGAGTCCGGATGGCTCTCCTCTGAATCCTTGTTCGCCTGGATGCCGTAGCGGCTGATGTTTGTCTGTTGGCTCTGGAGTCTTCTATCCCCCTTTGTCTAGCGGATTGCCTGTGTCTGGCCATGTGTAGTGATGTGTTTTTGAGGATTGCAGTTTATCTCTAGATTTAGGGTTTTGCTGGTGGTAACTGATGGAAGAATTTAGAAGATGGAAGGGGGCTATGGAAATTAATCTTATGGGGGCTTGGGGTGTCAATTTTCGAGTTGGAAGTTCCAGATTTCCAGGCATCACTCTAGACAATTCTACCCTCCAATTCCACCTGTTATTTAAATTAATCTTCCCTCCTTCCTTCTTCCCTTTGACCAGAACACATGGTGGCTGTTTTAACTGCAAATTTACTCTGATAAATCATCTCAGTCGCGAAAGTGAGTCTATCACACGGCCAATTGAGACGACAAATCAATGTCCATTGCTTGGTATAGATAATTAAACTTAAATGTTGCCATTCTGATTATATTATAGTTGGCAAGGCATTTCAGGTTAACCATCCACACAATTCCACCTGAAAATTTCTAATAAGGGTTGTTCCACCCTTTCTGATTGCTACTGAACAAATTGATTAATTAACCAAAATACTAATTGAACCAAAATTAAGAAGAACAAAAGAACTTACCTTGGATTGCCTCCTAAGCAGCGCATTGGTTTAAACTCATGCCAGACTCAGTGGTACTTCTATTCTGCTTTCTTGAGTTACATCACATCCTTGCTGCATCTCTTGGTTCTGAACTGTATGATGCGCTTCTCTCCTTTTAGGATTCTCCAATGTGTCACTAGGAAGTGATCCAGCAGGTCTGTCTGGTATCATCCTTGCCATCTGTGCCACCTGATTTTGCATATCTTTCATAGTGGCATCAAGCCTAGCAAGAACGTTACCCACCTTGATCCAGTCCTCCTCCTTGACTCTCAATGGTTGATTCTGAAATCCTAGTGGTTGAGCTGGTCTTTGATATTGTTGATTAGTCCAGTTGTTGCTTTGCTGAGGCCTCTAATTGTTGTAATTGTTGAATCCTCCTCTGTTATTTCCTTGTCTTACAAACTGAACTTCTTCCAATGTGACTTGACAAGTGGAACTGTTGTGAGATCCTGTGCAAATCTCACAGACATCAGTTTTTGGCTTGTTGATGTCAGCTCTTAACTTGGTTATTTCATTGGTGATGGCTGCCATCTGGGCTTGCAAGTGAGTTGTAGCATTAAGCTCCAATACTCTTGCTTTCTTAGCTGTAGCTCTGGGCTCCTTCTGCCATCTAAAATGATTAGCACACATATTCTCCGATAGCAGGATTGCCTCCTCAACAGGTTTCATCGTGAAGGCTCCTCTAGAAGATGAATCAAGTGATTCTCTAGAAGTCTGCTACAATCCATTGTAGAAGATACACAGTTGGATTGGTTTGTCTACACCATGTTGAGGACATTTCCTCATCAGTTCCTTAAATTTCTCCCAAGCCTCATAAAGATTTTCTGTCCCATGCTGCTGAAAAGTCATGATGGCTGATCTTAAAGCAGCAGCTTGACAGGTGAGAAGAATTTTGTAAGGAATGCATGTCTGAGTCCATTCCAGAAGTTGATTGAATTGTTGGGTGGAGTGTCCAACCAGTTTGCGGCTAAGTCCTGCAATGTAAATGGAAACAGTCTCAAGTAAACCTCGTCGTTGGACAAACCTTGAATCTTGAAGGTGCTACACAACCTCAGGAACTTCCTGATGTGCTTGTTGGGATCCTCACTAGGTAGTTCATAGAAAGGACAAGCAGCTTGCACCCATTGAGTCATTTGAGTTTTGAGCTCAAAGTTCTCTCCTGCAACATCATTGTACACAAGTGGAGTCTGAACTTCCTCCTCTTGGGGTACAAAATAATCTCTTAGCAGTTTGGGTGGAGCTGGTTTTAGCTCTCTTTCTTGAGGTTGATCAGCTGCTACCTTTGCCATCTGCTTCTAGTTTTTAAGAACATGAGTAGCAGCTTCTCTATTTCGCAAGGCTTTGGATCTCCTTGCCGTGATTTCAATCTTAGATCAAAACTTAGCTCTCCTGATAGATTGCTTCTAGTCATTAACCAATAATCAAAACATGAAGAGTAAAAATAACAAGATTTGTGATTTGAGTGAGTGAATTTGAGTAAAAGTAGAAAACTAAAAAGAACAAAAACAGAACACAATAATCAGAATTTAAGGATTTTTAACGCCGCCCCTGGCAATCGACGCCACTTTTGGTGGTGTAAAATTGTGCTGCCGTCGATTCCAACCACAAATAGAATATTTATAAAACCTACTTGAAACTATTAGCTAGTGGTAAGTAGGGTCGTTCCACAGAGACGACAGCTCAACCGCTCAAAATCTGATTAAAGTGCAAAGAAAAGAAAGTAAAAGAGATGAACAGATTTATCACTTGGGAGAGTGAGAATAGTCACTTGACAGAGTGAAGAGGTAGAAGGGTCAATCACCTTCCTATCTTTATGACACAGTTTTGATTCAAATGATCCTTTAGTGTATGATTTATTGTTTGATCGGGCACATGTATTCTTTACAATTCCTCTCAGATAGAGTGAAGAGTCCTAGATTACCAAATGATCTACCTCTCAGTCAGATTATTGAGATTAACCTAGGCCATTGAGTTCTTAAGCCCTATCGATCACCTATGCCAATCACCTAACTCTCGTTGATGATTGAAACCAAAGGGTAGATTTCCTCCTTTGTCATAGACTAATTTAAGATGTTCTAGTTATGTTTGCCCTCTCAGATCTCCATAACATACTTACACATTTAATTAAGTGGCTAGTTTAATTAAAAGGTTAATTAAGGCACTTAAACTAGACACAATGCCTCATAAAGAAAAATTGAATCAAAACCTTCACATAAAGATAGTATGGATTGAACCTTAACCGAGTTAGCTACTCATGTTTGTTGAGTTAAACATGAGAGCAACAAAGTGCAAAAGATATGACATAATTCAAGATCAAAAGGTTAGAGGATAGAAGGGAAAGATGGTAGCAGGGCAGTTACTGTCTGCTCACTTAGGCGAGTGGCGTTCGCCACTTGACAGAGTGATAGTCTGCACTTCTGTTCATACTACTACCCTATTTTTAACCAACTAACTATCTAACTACTGTCTTTGTAACTGATTCTAACTATCCAGTCTGTCCTCAACTACTGCTATTGGGTGACTATTTATAGAGATTTGGAGAGGCTTGGATTGGTGGACTTCTGGCATTCCTTGCAGTAGATCAGAGGAGACAGCAAGTTGCAGTAGCCAAGGCATTTGTTTAATCAACAACTTACCCAATTGGCAAGTTGCTGACTTCTCTGGTTGACTCCTTTCTTCTTCAACCGCAATCAGCCACTTTTTACTCATCATTGCTGCTTCTTCTTAGTCTTCTTCTCCGGCGCCTTCTCATCATTTGCAGCTACAAATCACCATTTCTTCATTCTTTAATCCTCACAGCTCAATTTGCAGCACTCAGTATGCAACAGCATCAGCAGCAAACTTCCTTCCATCATTATGTTTCCAGCCCCCAATTCAGCCTCAATCTTCTGCCCTTTTCTTTCCTTGTTTCCTGTGTCACTTGCTACACCATTGCTCACCCTTCTGCAGCAGCCAATTCATCACCTCAACAACAGCATCAGTTGGTAAGTAGCAGAGTTGCAGCTAATGTTCTTCACATCCCTCTTTCTCTTCTTCCACTTGCAATAGCAACAACTTGTAGTGATAGCAAAGTAATTTCCTTCCTTGGGCACCAAGATTTCAGCTCGTGGCTCCTCTTTGATTGACAGCAGGAACAGCTACTGCAGCAGCAACTTGGCAACATAGTAGCTAACCCTTCTTCCTCTAAATTGAATATGCTACTGCAGATTTTTCCAAGTTGTGATCATCTGATGCCATTCTTCCTTCCTCTGCAAGGATTTCTTCACTTGCTCCAGCTCTGATCGACCTTCCAACAGCCCGATTTCCGACAACTTCCATTTCAATCCAGAACGATGCTCTTTTGTGTAATTTGGCCCTTATTTATGCTGATTTTGCACATTGGCCCCTTGATTACTCTGAAATACAAAATCAACCCAAAAATAAACTAATTCTAACTAATTGACACGTAGTACTAAATAAAAATGAGTAAAAAATGCCTGCAAAAAGTGTACATATTTTACTGTCATCAGTTAAACTTGTGGAAGCATTCTAACGCCACATCTTCACCTTGTCCAGCGTTCTGTTGTTGTCCCTGTAGCGGTGGTGCTATTTCCCCCATTTGTTCGTAATACTTTCTCATTTGCTCAAAAGCACGGGTCATGTCCAACATCATATTGCCAATTCTAGCCTCAGGCTCAAGACATGTTTCCGCAAGCTCCGTCTAGGTATGCTCTTCCATTTTCTACATAAATTTCTGAGGTTGTTAAAATTGAGAAGCACTGAAAATTAAAGGGGGATGTATAGCAGGAAATTAAAGAAGGACCAATATAAGGGAAGCGCTACCTCAGATAAAACAACAAACAATATTTACATGGATGTTTAACAACCAATCTTTTCTTCTGCAACTCAAGACATAGACAGTCTGCCAGCTAAACTGTACAAGGGTTCAAGTGGGATTATATTATACCAAAAGATCCCTATAACTAACTCCCAAAGAAAGCCGAAATAACTGGCAAACTTACACACTACATAAGTACATGGCCCTAATGATATCACTCAACCATCGCCTCAGGACCCTCCATGGCCTCCACGTGGAGACGAGAAGCCTGAAGGAGGGCGTTAGCACATGCAAGTACACTCTCCCTGTAGTGCTGAAACTCAGCACATGCTGACTGTTTTTCTGCACGTGCTAACTGTAGCTCTGCACGCAACTGATCGAGCTCCTGATCTTTGCGTACAATCTGTTCCTCTGCCTTAGCACACGCATCCCATTCCCTATCCTCAGCATGTCTGGCACGTAACTCCATCTCCTGCATCCTCTCCAACTGATGACGGCGTATGTCGAGAGCATGTTCCGTACGCTCAAGAAGATCATCCCTTTCCCTTGCTACGACCTTCACTACATGATTTGGGTATGAATGAGTCTCAAGGTGTCGGCACAAACGTGAACGGCTTCCCCAGTAGTGAGTATAGGTTAAATACCTAGACCCCTCCCGTCGCTTAAAGCGTATAGCTGGTGCTTGCTCCATAGGATCCTACCAGGAATGGAGAAAGATTAGTACTTTCCCATATGAAAACATATCTTAACTTATACCACAAGTATTTTCTACCTTCCTGTTAAACTATAAACTTGATGTATATTTTAAGCCAACCTCTATAAACATGTTTTAATTAGGATACCTCTAAATAGAACTATTTAAGGGCATATTCACTGAAGTTTCAAAATTATAGTTGATAACATATAAAATCACATACATGTACTAACAACATAATATCTTACATGGATTACCCACGACCACCTTTCCAACTATCATCGTACAAAATGATTAGTTTCCCAAACCTATTTACATAAGTGAAAGGACACTATATTACAACAAAAAGGTCCTTATGGATTATTTAAAACGAAGTTGGCAGTAGTTGACTCCTAATATACACATTCAGGTCTAGTGGCTCTATTAACCTACTTAGCCACCGATTCGATGATGTTTTTCATGCGCTCTTGCTCATCTCCGGATGTTGCCTCCAGTCCTTCGTTAGATTCAATACAGTCGCAGGCCACTTCCATCACTGCACCGGAGCTTGTCGCTTCATCAGTCGAGAAAGCTCGAGACCCCAGGCATACCTGATACAATTCTTTATGCAGCTGGTAGATTTCGTGATCTTTCGCCTCCATCTCACGATCTTTCAGTTCTATCTCGTAATTCCTATGCTTGAGTTGCTGATATTTATACGCCATTTGCTTGTCCCAATCTGCCATCCAAGTCGACATTTCCCACTCCCGATATTCAGCAGCCTTAGCCCGTTGTTCCAAATTCCTACACGCTCCCGTTGCCGCTCCTGTGTATGTAGGTCACGTTCTTCTCGATGTCGGAGCTGATCTCTTTCATGAACAATCGCATGTACCACATGGTTTGGGTAGGAATGAGTTATGAAGTGTTGGCACATGTTTCCTCGTACTAAATAGGGTGCCCAAAGGTGATGCCTTGCTCAATCTAGCTTCCCGACAGCTTCTCTTCCAGCAAACTTTTGGTTCGACACCTGGATGGGATTAAACAAGCCTCTTAATGAGACTTTCATGGTCCAGGTCCTAGATAATCTTATAGAGTCAAAATTGTTGATTTTGTGGATGCTGATGGAGCGTTATAATTCAGTCCTTTCTTAAATGAAAAGAGCTTCCAGGTTATCAATTCCATTCAAGAATTGCTAAATATGAAATTATGTGTTAGTAGATTGGATAGTGTACTAGCTTATGAAATTGCTAATTATCCAAAAAATTGTAATGGGAGAGACACTTATTAGGCGTCTCTTTAGATTAATTTTCGTTTAGTGTTGACTGAGTCCGTTGTTATATTTATAAAGTTGAATGTGTTACTTACATGTAAGGGTGTGGGGTGACTCTATGTCTGCCTACATTTATGTCTCACGGTGGCTTCGTGTGTTACTACAATCAATTGCCTGAAAATATTTTTTTTAAAAGATGTGTTTTTGTTGAATCCAAAATGTCTATTTAAAAAATTTAAAAGTAAAAATTCAGACTATACAGTCATTCCAGACAGAGGGAGTGACTATCAAATTTTACTCTCTGTGTTTTCCTATTTCTTTGTCCACAGACATATCCTAAAATTTCTTAGTTGTTATTAGGGTTTCAAAAGATATGTTAACCCCAAAATAAAGGACATTTTCAAGAAATGAGAGATTGCATTATGGTAGAAAATCACAATGAATAATTTATGAGTCGCGTACACTTAAATGAGCATGACAAAACTTAGTTTCTTCTTAAATGTACGCTACAAAAACTATAATTAGTTCTCAGTTTCATTTTATTACAAATATTAATTTCATTTTCTTAAATGTTGGTGGTTTTATTACCGAGGCTCCCTCAGTAAACCTAATTAGTAAAATAATTTATCAGGAAAATAATTTTCTTTTTATACCATACATACTTTGACTTCTTGGCATGTAGTCAAATTTGAATAAACTATATACAGTAAAAACAACTATATATAACGACACATATAATACGACATATATAATACGACACGTTTGCCAAATTTGATAATCTCATGACTGTAGAAAGATTATGCAGCCACAATTCGGCCAAATATTTGATTTGGCAGATCTATACACAACGTTGGTACTCACATCTTCTGTTGTGCTCGGTAAAGTATGAACGACAAATTGTTTTTAATTTAGGTTGTTGTAAACTCAACTTTTGAAGTTGTACATCTTTGTTTTTAATTTAATCATGATTATCGCTTGTCACAAAAAAAAAAACTATGCCTATAATGCAAAATAACACCTGCAACGATTTTGGAAATCTGATAATAATATGGCATGATTTTGATAACATAAAGTAAGACGCTATCTCCGTTATAGGTGCATATAATATGATACACGTCGATTTTGGTAATCTGATAATGTAGTAAGAGTATGTTGCGAGTAGTCAAATTTGAGCATGATAATAGTAGAAATATCATGTTGTCAATTTCGAATCTATAATATAATACAACGCGTGCGTACTGATTTTGGTAATCCGATAATGTAGAATGTCGTGGTAATTTCCTATCATAAAATGATGAGAAGTATATACAATACTTATTTGGATAAAATGTAGAGTTTTAATATCTTGCATCTTTAAACAGCTGGTCTCGGATTCACAATATAGGTGCAAGAGTGGGAACTATCATAAAATGATAAGAATTATAGATGTCGATAGCCATGTAAAAATAAAATTGAGTAAATCTTAATTTGATTCAAATATAATTTTTGCTTATGAAATAGATTTATATGGAAGTGATGAACCAGTTTCAACGCACTTAATTCACCGGTTTATGTACGTTACGTGATCCATTTGTCAATAAGAATTTTATTTCTAAATAATATTATTCTTCTTTTTCATTATAAAAGAGGCATAGGACTAAATAATTTTATTCTAAAACTATCTTGTTTTATAGTTTTTTTTTGGCTTATTATTATTATTCTTTTATTGTTTTACCTTCAAACTTCACTAATATAATCATAAAGAGTTTACGATTAATTATGATATAATAAACGTATGTAATAAAATGTAATAATCAACTCAAATAATATTCACACTCCCTAAAGAAAAAAGAAGAAAGAAATTCAATCCATTATCATATTACCCGAATACGATTGTGATTATGGTAGGAACGTATTTATTAAGACCGTTCACAAATGACATTATCTGGCCACTAAATTTCTTACTCAAAGTGACCACGACCGTAATAGGAAAAAGTTAATCGACCAAAACATAGTCACACACTGAGCTTTCTATAAATTTGTCTATTCTCCAGTGAATAGAAAACCATCCCTTTCACAAATATTTCTCCAACCACAGTTTTAACCCACCAAACTTAACCAATTTAGCCATGGCAAAAAGAACCAGCCGAGGTCGTCAGAAGATCGAAATGGCAAAGATGAAAGACGAAAGTAACCTCCAAGTCACCTTCTCCAAGCGCCGAACCGGCATTTTCAAAAAGGCCCACGAATTGAGCGTCCTTTGCGGTGCAAAAGTTGCTCTAATCATCTTCTCTCCAGGTCAAAAGGTTTACTCCTTTGGCCATCCTTCTGTTCACACCATTATTGAGAGATTTCTCAAAGATCAAAAGAATCCATCCCTTGATGATTCATCATCCCCTGTGGTTTTAACAACAATGAGTGCTACTGAGCGCATCATTCATGCCTGCAGAAATGCACGGGTTCAGAAGATGAATCAGGAATTAATGCAGTTGGAAAAAAAATTGGAAGCAGTAAAGAAAGGCACTGAAGCACTGGAGAAAGCGATGAAGGAGGATCCAGTAAAGCAGTGGTGGAAGAGACCCATTGAAGAGATGGATGCAAATCAGCTAATGATATATGCAAACAAATTGGAAGGACTCATGATGAAAGTTAAAAAGGAAATGCCTTTGGAATCTATTGAAGGAGGTACTGCTCCTTTTACGGATCTCATTGGCATTAATGATGTTTATGGCTGTATTTCTCTTAATGCTAATAATTTCATTAATCAATTTTGTGGGAGGACTGAAGGTGGACATGTTCCCGGTCGTCATCGTCCATCGGTTGCTGGCAGAGATAATTTGCAAAAGGAGATTGATCTAAATCGTTCACCATCGCCTTCTAGATCTGGTAGTTTGGAAAAGGATGATGATCATAAGAAATTTGTCCGCGTTCATCAGTTTATCTAGGATGATGATGATGGTCTCGTAGTCTCTAATGGATGTTTTGATTATTGTTGTTTTGGTCTTAGTTCGCTTTTGTTTGGGTTTGTTTCAGTTCTGTAACTTTGCCCTTTTCTACAATTATTCCTCAAGGGAAAGACCATATATATCGATGGGTATATAGGGTCTTTGGCTTTCCATAGGGAGTAGATTTGTGATTATAGGGCAAAAGTTTAAGTCATTTTAGTTGTTTTCCTTTTAATCATGTTTTCTATTAGCTTGTTGGGTTCTATTCACTTTTGTAACGCTTTGTTTTGGGTTTCTGGCCATTAATCAAATCATATATTTTTTCTTTTTAATATTAAAAACAAGAGAAATTTAATTAGAATTATGGAAATTTCTTAAGTTTTATCAATACTTAATTTCAATTGATAAATGGGCTCACGTACGTAGATCAAATCTCAAGTACACTTACTGCTATTCTTAAGGAAGAAAGATAATTCATCGACCAAATATAGGTCTCTTCATTGTTGTGGACGATTGTTGTATTCAAGTACAATAATTTTAATCAATCCAATATATAGTTTATATCCCTAACCCATCTATTTCATAATCGATATCATATTGAATCTTAATCTCTCAAAAATAATTAATTATGACCATGGTAATTGTCCGATCCCCGTCAGGATGTCACCTTGGTTCCAAAAGTAAAATGTAAATATAATAGAAGAGATTGATAAAGCCCTCAATCTTACCAATTTTATGTTAATATTTTATTTATTATTATTATTATTACTTTAGTCACTAAAAGGCAAAAAATTGCTCAAACTTCAAACTACAATGTCGTGTTGGTAAACTATCTAGAAACACGGTACTCATGGCTACTCCAGAAAGCATTTATATAAAGCGTGTCAAAGCAATAAAATTTGAGCTCTATCATCGGTTTCTTTTAGGAGTTTAATTGTAACTTATTCGCTACTTTAATTAGATAATCAATTAATATTAACATATTTTTTTTCAAGTTTGCAAAAGTTCTTAAAGACAAGTATATTCGTAACCATTGAAGTGAGCTATAGGTTAATCTTAACATAAAAGGATTACTCAATCATCCAAAAATTCATAAAATCTATTTGTGAATGCTGGGCAGAGTTATGAATTATTATAAGTAGGTGTGAATTTTTATAAAGTCTCTTTATAGGGGTGAAAATGGGATTTTTTTTATTAATATATAGGGAAAAGTTAAAAAAATGAAGATGCTTGGTTGTAATTACTGAAAGGGGTTCGATGCCTCTACTAGTCCCTCCTCCATCACTGTGTAAATGAGCTAAAAAAATGATGCAAATATATCTTATTTGGAAGTTTCAAAAATACATTCATAATGCTATAATCAAAACAAACGAAAAATACACAGGAAAAAAGCTATATATTCATTATAGGGATTCATAATAAAATATACACTTTATAATCATCATGAATTCATGATATATTTATAAATAAATGTACTTAAATTTATTCAAAACATTAGGTGATAACATAAAAATATATACCCTTTTAACAGGCATTTCTTACTCATTTTTACTTATAATGTAGTGTTAATTAATTAGAATTAGTTTACTTTTGGGGTGATTTTGCAGTGCAGGAATATCAGAGGGCCGATGCAAAAAATCAGCATAAATGAGGGCCAAATTACACAAAAAGGCATAAAAAAGGACTGGAATAGAAATTGCTGGAAATTGGGCTGTAAGAAGGTCAATCAGAGCTGGATCAACTGGAGAAAACCTTGCTAAGGAAGGAAGAATGGTAGCAAATGATCACAATTTGGAAGAATCTGGAGCAGCACACTCAATTGAGAGGAAGAAGGGCAGCTGCCTTGCTGCCAGATTGCTGCTGTCAATCAGAGAAAAACCACGAGCTGAAATTTTGGTGCCCAAGGAAGGAAATTGCTTAGCCATCACTGCGAGTTGTTGCTGTTGCAAGTGGAAGAAGAGAAAGTGGGAGAATATGTGATAAACAGCAGCTGCAACTCTGCTACTTACAACCTGATGCTACTGAGATGATGGATTGGCTGTTGCAGAAGGGTGAGCAATGGCATAGCAAGTGACCTAGGAAACACGGAAGAAAAGGGCAGAAGATTCAGGCTAAATTGGAGGCTGGAGACACAATGATCAAAGGAAGCATACTGCTGATGCTGCTGTGTACTGACTGCTGCAAATTGAGCTGTGAGGAATAAAGAATGAAGAAATGGAGATTTGTGGCTGCAAATGCTGAGAAGGCGCCAGAGATGAAGACTAAGGAGAAGCAACAATGATAAGTAGAAGATGGTTGATTGCGGCTAAAGAAGGAAAGAGCTAACCAGAGAAGGCAGCAACTAACCAGATTGGGCAAGTTGCTGAATAAACAATTGCCTTTGGCTGTTGCAACTTGTCGTCTCTTCTGCCCTGCTACAAAGAAGGCCATAACTCCACCAATCTAAGTCTCTCCAAATCTCTATAAATAGCTAGCCAATAGCAGTAGAAAAAATAACATATTGGGTAGTTAGATTTAGTTTAAAAGATAGGAGTTAGGTAATTAGTTAGAAGATTAGAAACAAGGTAGTAGTAGGAACAAGGAGGCAGTCTGTCACTTTATCAAGTGGTAAACACCACTCGTCATAGTGAGCAGACAAAAACTGTCCCTACTACCATCTTCCTTTTCTTTCCTCTAACCTTTTGATCTAGATTCATGTTTTATCTTTTGTACTCTGTTGCTCTTATGTTTAACTCAATAAACATGAGTAGATAACTCAGTTAAGGGTATAATCCATACTATCTTTATGTGAAAGTTTTGATTCAGTTTCCTTGATGAGGTACTGTGCCTAGATAAGTGATTTAATTAACCTTTTAATTAACTTGGCCACTTAATTAAATGCGCTTGCATGGTTATGAAGATCTGGAAGGGGGAGCATAACCTTAGAATTGTTTAATCTAGTCTATGACAATGGAGGAAATCTACCCTGCGGTTCCAGACATCAATGGAAGTTAGGTGAATGGCATAGGCGATCATAACGGGCTTAAGAACTCAATGGCTTAGGTTAATGAATCACTCTGACCGGAAGGTAGGAGATAATCTATGACTCTTTATTCTATCTGGAAGGAATTATAAAGATATATAAGTGCCTGGTCGAACAACTAATCATACACTACAAGAATATTTAACGAAAACTGGATCTTAAAGGTAAGAAGGTGATTGACCCTTCTGCCTCTTCACTCTGTCACGTGACTATTCTCACTCTCCCAAGTGACAATCTGTTCAACTCATTTTCTTTGTTTTCTGCACTTTAATCAGGTTTTGAGCGGTTGACTGCCGTTTCTTTGGAACGACCCTGCTTACCACTATCTATTATTTTTAAGTAGGTTTATAAATATTTCTTTTGGGAAAGTGGTAAACACTAAACGACATTCACCAAAAGTGGCGCCGCTGCCGGGGATGGCATTAAAAATCCTTGAAATTTGATTTTAGTGTTTTGTTTTTTCTTCTTTTTAGTTTTCCATTTTTAAACAAATTTAGTCACTCAAATCACAAATCTTGCTATGGTTATTCTTCGTGTTTTGATTATTGGTTTATGACTAGAAGAAATCCATCAGGAGAGCTAAGTTTTGATACAGAAATTGAAATCATGGCAAGGAGATCCAAAGCCTTGCAAAATAGAGAAGCTGCTGCTCGTGTTGTTAAAGATCAGAAGCGGATGGCAGAAGTGGCAACAGCTGATCAACCTCAAGAGAACTACAACCGGCTCCACCCAGATGTCTAAGAGGTTATTTTGTACCCCAGGAGGAGGAAGTTCAAACTCCACTGGTGTACAATGATGTTGCAGTAGAGAATTTTGAGCTCAAAACTCAAATGATATAATGGGTGCAAGCTGCTTGTCCTTTCTATGGACTGCCTAGTGAAGATCCTAAAGAGCACATCAAGAAATTCCTGAGATTGTGCAGCAACTTCAAGATTCAAGGTTTGTCCAAGGACGAGGTTTACTTTAGACTGTTTCCATTCACATTGCAGGATTTAGCAGCAAAATGGTTGGACACTGATAATAGCTAAATTGTTACATAAAAGCATCACAATTAACTTTGTATTTGATGAACAATTGGGGGTATTTCCTAACATTGATGCAATTTACTTAGCTCATTTTCATGTTATTGTTAGGAATGGACCGGATCGAATAATTGCTGAAAATTAGAAGCCAAAGGAGCAATTAACGGGCTGCTGAGGCAAGGTTGCTGAGCTGGACGAAGAAGAAGGCCCTTAGACAAGAAGCATCTTGTCATTAATGACCTTGCCTCCCCCTAGAGGCATGCTTGTCCCCCAGCCGCAATCTCAGCCACCACTATTGAGCAATGAGAGCAAAACGGCCACTGCTGGAAGAGAGAAAAGGAACGGCCAAGTTGGATTGCAGGCTCAAGACATTGGAAGGATTAAACAACTCCAAGCATGGGGAGGTTCTCATGATGAAGACACCGGTTTCAAGGCACTATAAAGGAGGGAACTGCACTCTCACATAGGAGAGCTCTCAATCTCTGGTTCCCCTTTCAATTACTAAAAACACTCGGAAAAACTCCAGGTAGAAGGCAAGAAAGAAGAAGAAGTAGTAACAACTCAGAGAGGAAGCCAAGTTGAAGAAGAGCAACCCAGTTTCTTCTTCAGTTCAACGAGTGAACCCCTTCACTCCCAGGAGTGACTCAGAAACTGCACAAGCTTTCTCCTCATCTCTTGACTGTTAGCTTGAATTTCGTTTACTATGCATACTTCTATGATGTCTTTCGATGTAGTAGATGTAGCATTAATCTGTATGAGTAAATAAAAAGTTCCCAGGGGTTATTCTCCTCAACTGATGTTGTAGTTGTCAAGCACTGGTTTTGTTCCTTGTTTTATGGTTGAAAGTTTTTCTACATTCATTTACTTGATCACTAAATTGAATGCATGCTAGAACTAAGGGAGATCTGGAAGGATAAACTTGGTTTGGATTGTTTCAACTTTAACTTATGACATAGAGGTAACAGTCTATGGTTTTAACTAAGATAGGAATATACTTAGTTAACATAAGCATTCTTGAAGGCCTAAGAACTTAATGACTTTGTAGCTGAATCAATCATTGGAAAATAGGTTGTCAAGGTTGTAAAGATGACTC